CCCCACTGCCCCCGACCTCTCACTGTCCCCATGTGCCCACAGAGCGCCACTCCCTGCACTACTTCCAATTGACGTGTCGGAGCCCAGCCTGAGGGTGCCCCAGTTTGTAATTGTGGGGTACGTGGATGGGATCCCCATCTCACGTTACCGCAGGGACACGAGCAGGACAGTGCCCCAGGCAGACAGGATGGCAACCAGTCTGGACCAGCAATACTGGCACAGGGAGACCCAGAAGTCACAGGGCCATCAACACTTGTTCCATGTGAGCCTGGAGACACTGCAGCGCCGCTACAACCACAGTGGGAGTGAGTCGGGCTGGGATGGGACTCTACGGGATAAAAATGTCCCCCCCTGCCTCTCAGGGTCCTGCCCTGCCCTGTCTTGTGCCAGCCCTTCCTTGCCCAGGGCCGTTGTCACTTGGCTTGCACCTTGTCCCCCACTATCAGAGGTCCCACGCCCCACTGGTGGCCCAGGGCTGCAGCAGCCCCTCAGCCCCCTGTCCCTGGACGTGTTGCATCAGCTCACACATGGCAGCCATGCTTATGGCTTCTACTCACGGTGCATCAGCGTCAGCTGGCTGAAGGACGGTGAGAACCAGGACCACGAGACCTGGCGAGGCAGCGTGGCGCCCAACAGTGATGGCACCTACTACACCTGGGTCTCCAGCGAGGCCCGTCCCCAGGAGAAGGACAAGTACCGGTGCCACATGGAGCACGCCAGCCTGCCTGAGCCCGGCCTCTTTGCCTGGGGTGAGCCCGGTGGCCGTGGGCAGGGGGAGCGGGGGGCTGGAGGATTCCCCTTCCCCTCCTCATGGCCCCACTCTCCCCAGAGCCGGAATCCAGCTTGTCAGGTGTCCTGCTGGGGATGGCTGTGGCCATCCTGGTTGCTGTGGCTGTCATCACTGGAGTCACCGCCTGGAAGCTCCAACAGGGTAAAGTGCCGGGGCCAGCGAAGCAGAGGGGTTGGGTGTCCGAGAGGGGCTCGGGCAGGAGCCACTGCACTCTGGTGAGCCCCCTAGCCTGGCGGCAACATGAGGTGGGTGCTAATGCCCCTTTCTCTCTACAGGGAAGGACAAGGAGGGCTACTGCTGCATGGCCAAAAGTGAGTACCAGCAGCTGGAGGGGGACACTAAGACCCCTGAGCAGTGGGTTGGGGACAGGGAAGGGGGCACTGGGTGACACTATCTCTTCTCTCATCCCCACAGCGGTCTCTGCCTGATGGTGAGACGCCCACCCCGGCTACAGCGCCAGATCTTCCACTTGTGTGAGCATCCCCTCCTCTCCTTTTCACAGCAGAGAACTGCAGTTACTGCATCAGTCTTTGATTTTGAGGCTGTAGCTGATCCCTTCTGAACTCTCGCAGCCTTGAGTCAAGGGCTGGGCAGGTTTGGACTGTCACGGAGCTGGTTTTCTGCTTCTTTGGTTTGCGTGGCAGCCCAGCTCACTGCCGTGTTTGGGATTTTGTCACCAAACCGGGGCTGGTGACCCAGCGAGGGATCTGAGCAGTGTGGGGGCCACGTCCAGTTCTCCCTCAGGGGAAACAACAATGGGAGTTGTTGCAAGAGATCGAGAGGGAGCCCGAGGGGGCAGATGAGCCAAACTCGGGAGAGGTGTTGAGGCTGGATCACATTGTGCTCGAGGAGAAAAAGGGCAAAGAGCGGGTTCAGGGGCACTGGCCAGCTTGCCCTAAGGTATGTGTACAGCAATAAAAAGGGTTAAACAAGTTTAATACATTTCTGTTGTCCTGCTGCAATGATGGAAATGTCTGCCTTTAATTTTTGGAAGGGACAAAGAGGCTGTTAATGGACTTGCATTTGTTGGTAATTTGCCTGTGCCAGGGCTCTGTCACCCTCACAGGGAAAAAGTTTTTCCTAGTCTTTGTGTGGAACCTCCTATGTTCCAGCTTGTACCCATTGCCCCTTTTCCTGTCATTGGGCGTCGACTGGGAGGCGGCAGTAATAACAGGGACACCAGGAGCTGCCAACCAGGGACGGGGGCAAGGACGAGGAACGGTGGGAGGAGGAACGAGAGGAGGTAGTAGAGGACAAATTAATCAAACCTCTCTCAAAATAAATCAATGTGCCTACTGCAAAAGAAGAAGAACATTGGAAAAATGAATGTCCAAAATTAAGTAATCAACAAATGACAACTAATATAATGGTTTTGGGAGACTATACACAATGACTGACACCAGAGGTAAACCCAGCTGAGCCTCTGGTTACAATAAAGCTGGGAGGAGAAAAAAAAAAAAAAAGAAAAGGAAAGTTACATTTCTGGTTGATATAGGTGCGACTTTTTCTGTGTTAAATGAACCA